ACCCTTCAAATTACGATAATCTAAACTTTACAACCCTTCAAATTACAAAGGTTAAAGATAGAGAGATTTGTGAAGGGTGGATTTATTAATTTTGTAATCTATTTTTTTAAAAAAGTTACTTTTTGTGATAACTTCATCATTATGTAAGGGTAATTTTGAAAGGGTAATTTTGTAAATATTATTACATGACAAGATGTACTTTTGTCATCTCCATAAAAGGTAAAGTTGAAATTTTTACTAACAAACAAAGGTAAACACTAACTTCCAAAATGCCATTATTTGTAAAAATTTCAAATTTGTCTTAGTTTAATAGTTAACTGACCTATTACAATATTTTTTAAGCAAAAAGTAATAATCTTTTTATATATATACACCCATCACAACCTCTTCTAAGTTTTATTTTTGTATTTTAAGGGGTTGTTAACTCTAGACAAACCCACATATATATATAAAAGCACTTGGAACTCCATGCCAACAATGTCTAGATTTGATGTCTAAGAGCGATTGGACCTTCTTGTATGCGAGATAAATTAAATGGCACTGATATCATACAGTTCTTTAAAATAAATAAAAAACAATAGTCCTAACATTTTCAACCATTTTATTATATTTTAAAAAAGATGCATTTACAACATAAATAAATTCCATAATGTTTTATTTAAAGCACATGGTAGTTGTTTCCGCCGTCTGATACAAGCAAACATCACAAGATGCATTTGATCAGACGGCTCAAAGGTTGCAGCCATATGCAACTGCAATTATCAAATTTTGAAATTCAAAATTGGACCCTCGTACCATCACATAACAAACGGGTTTCTGATGTGCTTACTGATAGCCCAGCTTCCAAATAGGTAAAGAAGATGGCTGAACCGTAGGTCAACATTTTTCCCTTGAAGGCCTCCATGAATTTGTGGAGTGCCAAAGGGGATTGTTGTGGAGAGAAGGTTCCTGAGCCTTCCATTATGGCTTTGCATTTCTCCACCACTTTCCCTGAGAACTCTTTGCCATCTAGGGTTGAAATCATGGCCACATGTGACATTTTCTCAAAAGGGCCTGCCAAAGCCACAAAACACAAAACCCAATTGAAAGTTCCACCTATAGATTAACAACATACTAGGGGAAGTAAAAGTGACCGGGCCTTGATGTCTATTGCTGAGTTCTATGTAAAATTACTGAAGCTTGGATAGTTAATGTGTTGTCATATGAAAAACTGTGCTCCAAGTTCAAATCCTAGGATTCAAGCCTTAGTTAAGGTATTGACATTTGAAATATTGTGTCCCAAATTCAAATTCTAGCATTCAAGCTTAAGCTTCATTAGTCAACTATTGACATTTTAAACACTATATCCCAACTTTAAATCTTACCTTTAAATTTCCTGGAAAAAAAAAGAAAGAAAATGGCTTATTCTAAAGGGTGTGGTTTGTATAAGACCGAGGCTCTAAACAATTAAATTAAAGTGCACCCTCAAATAGTGTCGAGAAATGTGGTTTTAATACTTGAAATCTTAGTGATAGCCTTAAAATTTATTTGCATCTCTAATTATAAAATTTAGAGCTTTAAAAATAATATAGATCAAGCAGATCTATGAAACCTTGAAAATTTTGAAAATTGACGGTCTAAAAATGCATTACAAGATGCAATATTTCCAAAACTTGAAATCTATTTTTTTCTCATGTTCATACATCTTGAGGTCGAGATGATCAATTTGAAGATTTTTTAGCATCAAAACAATGTCTTCTGGCGAAAGTTTTAATATGTGCCTTTGATTGTTTGAAGCCTCGGCACTTATATAAACATTTTCCTATTCTAAAACAACATGATGATAGGAAATTCTTTGATTCTCAAGTTTATTGGCACCCGACCCATTGCAATGCATCCACAAGCGAGAGAGAGATATTATGAAGTTTAATGGCACTCAACCCAATGCAATGCATCCACAAGAGGGAGAGGGAAGGTTCACTATTTTAAAAGAGCAATTTACATATGGACTCAAAACAATAGGGAAAATAGGAAATGCTCCTCTTGTAGCGGGAAATTACAAAGAAGTTCAGTAAACCCGTGATATTTTTTTTTTTCAAAATTACCCATCGATTCGAGAATAACATCCTCAAACCAAATTTCAATTATTATTTTTTAATTATTTCTTCAGTAGCGCAGTGCCCCAAGTTTTAGAGGCAGTCTGAGGTTAGAATCCTTGGATCAATCCCTCTTTTTTTGTAGAAACAAACAGTGGTCCGATGATGGTGACATTAGACTGCCCCTTGACTGTGAAGCTCAATTTGAGGGTGGTCCGAGGTCCCCATCATCGGATAACTCGTTAAGTTTTGAAAAAGTAGCGGTTTGAGAATAGGAATCTCGGACCGCTAGTCTCAATTCTATTTATGTATTTTTTTGGGGGATTTCGTAGCATTGGACGAGTTTATGAAAAACGATAAAGGAAGGAGTTTTTAGGCAGCAAAGATGAGAGAAAGAGTAAGAGTAGTGTTCGTAAAATCGAACCGGAATGGTTAACTAGACATGGGCCTGGAAGCGATTTAACCGGTCTAACCGGTAAACCGATCGATTCAACGGCTCTAACTGTACAAGTCCTGAACGATCAAAAAAGTGTTAAAAAAATAAAAAAGTTAAAAAAATTTTTGCTAAAATATGAAAAGCATATAAAGAATGTAATTAAAACAAAACACACTCAAATGAAGTTGAAAGTTATTGAAAAAAAAAAGATTTTAAAGAATCGATTTGTGGCTAAGGGTATTTTTAAAATTTTTTGAAAAAGATGGAAAAATATAAAAGTGGGTATCATTGACCACAATTTTTTAAAACCTTTACCATAATGTAAATAATATTAAAATAGTGTTAAAAATCGACTTGACCAACCTTTTTTTTAGAAGAAAATGAAAAAAAATTAAGTTAGATACAATGTAGACCATTCCTTTTGTAAATACGTAATAAATAACATATTGATTAATAGATCTAAATGGCAACTAATTAGTATATGGTGCATTGGTTAGTGGGTTTAATAACAAATTATTTTTTTACAAAAACTTTCAAGTTCGATTCATGTGGGCAAGTCAATTTTTTGAACGATTGTTGGCAGGATTCAAACCACGGTTCGTGTAAACAATAATAGCCAGTGCTAACCAAGACACCATTCTAAAACATTTGATATAAATATGAAGTAGTATTCTATTTAAACTTTAAGAAATCGGTTGATCACCAAAACCGCCCAAATCGGAACCAGCCACTGACCGGTTCCGATCTAATCGGGCGATTAGCGGTTAGATCGACGGGTTTTACGAACATTGAGTGAGAGAGATTGGCGGAGAGGGAGGGAAGGGAAAAAAGAGGCACATGGAAGGGTCATTGAAGAGCGGAAAATAATGCCATGTTTAGGTGGGTGAAAGACTAGCGATAAGAGGTTCCTATTTTCGGATCGTTATTTTTTCAAAAAATAACTAGTGGTCCGAGGATGGGGACCTCGGACTAAGTCCAGGCGGCACTTCGAGGTCCCCATCATCAGACTGCTATTTTTTCAAAAGAAAAAAAAGGGAAGGATCGGTCCAAAGATTCTAACCTCAAACCACCCTAAAACTGAGCTCTGCTCAGTCCAGGGGGCAATCCCCCACCATCGGACTGCTATTTTATGAAGAAAAAAAAAAAAAGAAGGGAAATGATTGGTCCGAAGATTCTAACCTCATACCGCTTGGGTATTTCCCCTAAATCTTGGGGTACTGCCCTACTAAAGTAAAAATTTAAATTCAGTCCAAAGATGCCATTCTTGGACTGAGGGGCATTTTTTTGAAAAAAACAAATATTACCGGTTGACCGACCATCTTTGTAATTTCCAGTTGTCAGAATAGCGTTACATATTTTCCCTATTTTTTTAGGCCATTTGTAAATTGGTCCTTTAAAATTTATCAAAATGCCAATAAAAGATTAACGAGAGAGAGAGAGAGGGGTTTACGATTTTAAAAATAGTTAAGAAATTTATCAAAATACCTCAAGACAGAAATTTCAATTGGCATAGTTTCTAAGTCTCAACATTAGGTCGAAATTTCAATTGGCATAGTTTCTAAGTCTCATCATTAGGTTGATGTGGCCCTTTACGACACCAAGGATTTGTAGTTCCTCTAAAACCCAATAATAATTTTCTAGCTTGGAAGAGAGACTTGAGAAGAAGGATCGAAAATTTTGGGCCAATAAAAGATAAAATTTGGGAAACATAGAAAAGAAAAGTCGAAAAGAGATTGAAGAATATATATACAGTTTATGATGTCCATGAAGAAGTTGAGGGAGGCCAGCAGCTCCTCTGCAGATTTTCCCTTCCATTTAGGCTCCAAATCATACACCGCAGCTTCCTCCATGTACAGGGCCGTACATGTAAACTTCACAAATACTCCCTCTTTCTCCACACCCCTTACACCTGCACATCTCATAACTATCTACAATCAAAACTTTAGAATTGGTCAAAACGTTAAGACTATATATGTACAACCGGTTTGGCCACCAAAATGATCAGGGGCTAGGGGCTGGTTCGGGAAAATAGGTCCGACTATAATCTAAAAAAAAACAGAGAAATGTAATTTAAAGTTAGGCATATCATATTATGTTTGATCAAACTTGTTTTGCCCATTTAAATTGGTGAGCTTTTTGTTTCGACCAATATTTAATTAAACTCAATTTTTGCTCTAAATCAAACTGATAAAAACACGTACCAGGGATTTCACTAGTTTGATAGTTGGTATGGTTCTATCTTTGAAGGCTGTATTTGTTGTACTCCCAGATGAGTAATATTGCACACTTACTCCCTCAATTAAAGAGCCACTTGAATTTTTTATTTTTTTATTTTTTCCTTGTTGCGAAGCTACTTGGGATAGTTTTTCCAATAAGAAATTTTGGAATCCACCTAATAATCACCGTAGCATTATTTTTACGAAAAAAAAAAAACAGTACAATTGCTCAGATTTTACACGAGGGTGTAAATAGACAACGTGCACCACCGAGAGCACAAAATGTTTTGGCTTGGTTAAATTGCCTTAAAAATTACGAATATGTAGAGAGACTAGAAACCAAAACAATGGAAATAGCCACACCCACGAATATGTGGATGTGAATGGAGAAAGAGAGAGAGATGGTGAACCTGCGCCACAAAGAGCAAGATCCTTTTTGGAAGATGAGGAGGAGAGCGGCGGCTTCACAGTTGCAGAGAAGACGACTCCTTCCACCTCCATGCCTGGAAGGCCAACTATTCCCATCTCTCTCTCTACAGGATCAGATGAGATGAGATGAGATCGGTGGATGAGTTGTAATGTGTGCCTACATACAGTTTAAATAACCAACCCCATCAAATCAGTTTATTATTTGGAAACGGAGAAACTTATTTTTTTTTTATATTCTCCGAAGGATGGGTTTCTATGAGTCGGCGGACTCATATGTACACATGTGGCCCCCTCCGAATTTCATTTTAGACATGGATTTTTTATCTAATTTTGTTATGTTCATTCATCTAGCCAAGGTGATCATAAATATGAAAAGAAAACCAAAATTTTAAACTTAAAAATATTTAAGTACTTTTCGGTGTACCGTCTATTTGGAATCTATGAAAGGTACACTTTATACAACATCCATCTTTATGATGGACGTTTGTGAGTTAGCTGGCTCTTGTGGCCGCTGACTCACGCAACAAATTTCCTTCTTCAAAGCCACCGACTTTTTTCCTCTCTTCCCCGTCTCTCTCTATCTTTTTTTACTCTCTTTCTCAACTTCCCAAAACAATGAAAAGATTCCCCTAACACATCTTGGGTTTTCAGAGGATATAGTTTTCGTTGGGAGGCAATAGGAACTGTACTCTCGAGCTCGTATGCTTTGCTCTTTTGGGAGTATAGTTTATTTCTACTCCTTCCATCAGATACCACTTGAGAGGATTTTTCAATCCGTAATTTTACGAACCAATTAAGAATTACTGAATTACTCAATGACTATTCTTATTTCTTTTATATTTAAACAACCAAATTATAGAGCTTCCACTTATTAAAAGAATGTTAAGAAATTCCAGAGGGGAAGATGAAGTTGAAGTTAGTAATGCATGTTTCATGCGGGATCACCATCTCAAAATGTGCAAAACATGCCACTCATAAATTTTTGCGGAATACACACCTGTTATGGCATGTACGGTATATAAGAGTTTAGATCCTCCATTCTAGATCCATCTTAAAATTACAGGTGCGGTTTGTATAAGGTGTGAACTTTATACTATTGAAGTAAGGCACATTTCAAAACTATGCCCAAAAATGTCATTCCGTACTAAAAAGCTTTGAGACAATTAATCCATAATTGTGAAATTTAAAGCACTAAGAGTGGTACAGATCGAGCACTAAGAGTGGTACAGATCGAGTGGATCTATTAACGCTTAATGTTTTTTAAAATAGATGGTTTAGATGATAATGCGATAACATGTACTATTTTTATGAGTTGAAAATTATTTTTCTCCTTCATATCCATACATCAAGCGGTTGAGATGATCAATATGAGGGTTTTTTAGAACCTTTTCCGATGGTACGTCATACTGGAGCCCTATAATGAGGTCTTTGATTCCATTCTCACTAAAAGTTAGGGGCCTAAATCCCCACTAACTCACCACTATTTTTTAGAATGGCTTTGGATTTGGCGGTAGATTTGTCGAGCCCCATGGTGAGGTCTTTAACTCCTTTCTCACCAAAAGGTAAGGGCTCAAATTCTCACTAACTTACCACTTTAATTAATGAAAATTGGGATAGGGGCCTTCTCCCACCCTCTGACTTACCCAAAAAAATATTACAATAATATAAGGTTGACACCTTATATAATTTTTTTTTTTTAAGATTGTTGGGGAATGATTTCATGTAAGAGTTTTATAATAATAAAATGAAAAGGCCTAAAGTGAAAATGACTACACGGGCATTCTAGATAGCATTGTGGTGACCTCAACAAGAAAATATAGCCGGCTCAAAGATAGCATGGATCTTGATGACTGTAAGTGTGCATACTGATTGTCGAAGACCATTTAACTGCCTCAAAGACAATATTGTTGGATTTCAATGTCTTACATACCAAAATTTCATTGACGCACCGCCTTTCCAAAGGGTTCTGATCATTTAAAAGAATGATCCCTTAGTTTCCTTCCATCATGTCTCAAGCATCTACTTCTTTGTCATGAAAGGTAAATAACAAATAGGGGCAACTATAGGTGCGCTACAAAAATTTTGATAAAAGGTGTTCTTAGAAACCTCAAGGTCTACATCTTAAGGATCACGCTAAACCTAATGAACCTTAGTAAACCTAGACCCCTTAGAATTGTCCCTACGTCACTGAAAACATATCCTATTATCCTTAAATAGTCATCTTAGACACCCCTGAGCATTATAAATCTAGAAAACTATCCCAAACACCAATCTGATGCTCAAAAACATGAAATTGAGGTTCTAAAGTCCTAACCTTGTAGACCCATCAAAAGTAATTCAAATTAGACCAAATTGGTTCCAAATTATAGAGGATGTCACAAGCTATCTAATGATCCATAAATCTCCTGAATCCGACTTGCAGTTAGAAAGTTATGACCCAAACAAAATTGTTCAAAACAATGATAGTTGGTCGCTTGCACGAGCCTCGACCACTTGTGTGTGCAAAATCACGGGCTATCTTGTGTAGGCACAATGGGCTTAGACAGGCCTTAGACGAGCTCTTTGAAAGTTTTTGGACATTAGAAGCCCAAATATTCATTGATTTGCCACTATCGCAGTTGGATTAGGACTTTAAGATCAATACCTTAAATTTCAACCATACCCCTAGGGTCTATATAAAACCCCCTCAATAATTCCAAAAAAATCATATGAATAATCCGTAAAAATTTCCCTAGGGCCTAGAAAATTTCATAAATTAAAAAAATACTTTAAAAATTAGAAAAAATCCTAGAAGAGCCTAAAAATTTAAGAAAATTAAGAAATTCATCTAAAAGTCCCTAACAAAATAGAAACAATCCTAAAATCCCTATAAAATTAGAGAAAAACCTCAAGAAAATTTAAAAAAATCCCTACAAAACATTAGGCCAAAGACCCTAAGCCAAAATCCTCTAAAAAATTCTCAAAAATAAAAATCCTAGGAATAAAATCTCCTAGATCCAAAACCTTTAAACCCATGCTTCAAGAAAGCAAGAGTAGACACCAAAAGGTGTAAATCAACCAGCAGTACTTATACATGCCCTAATTTCAGGTTTTTCAGGTATGTGATGTTCCTTTCTCTTTTGTTTATTATTTTTTAAAAAAAAAAATTTTGTTTTATTTTTTTCTAGTTGTTTTTTTATTTCTTAGTTTAAGTTAGAATTTAGCTTTTTAGTGATCTACTGGTTGGAATTTACAGCTGGTGCTGCGCCTAGATTTTGAAAAAGATTAGATCTATAAGTTCAATGATAGTTCTAAATCTATAATTTGAGCGCCTTAATTTTTAACTTGTATTGCATGAATTTGAGTTGATCTCACATTAGTAATGGATGCAGCTTCGCACGCAAACACTTATGAAAGTAAATATTTACATAAGCATGCTTAACATGTGGATTGGATCATGTTTTTAGTTGGAGAGAGAGAGATAGAGATGTACGAATAGAACAATTAGTTTAGTGAACTCCCTAAAGTTTATGCCAAAAAAGCTTTAAAAATTTGCTAGTATTCAAGCTTAGATGTTTTATTTTTTCAAGATATTGAAATAAATTTAAATGTCGTATGCCTTAAATTGAATTACTTTTTATTCTATTTTTCTTAACATATATATTATTAAAACATGAGTAATGATCCTATGAAACTCTCCCACACCCATGTATGTAGGACCCAAAAGAATCACTATTAAATTCGGCACAAATCTCTAGAAAAGTTATCACATGGATGTGGGACTTGACTTTTCTAGAGATCTATGTCAAATTTAATGGTGATCCTTTGAGGTCCTACACATATAGGTGTGGGAGGGTCTCATAGGATCATTACTCTTAAAACATTTTCAACTTTGGTTGTTTTGCTTTCCTTGTAATATACATAATTAAAATATAGTGTCCTTTCTTTTCAATACTTTTCTATAGTTAATGTACTTGCTTTTTACTTGTTATAAAGAGTATGCTGAACCTTAAGATATAGCTTAATATTCATATATAATCTATTGTTCACTTAATAGGTGGCAAAAATTAACAATATGTACATTTCTTATTCTTTACCATGTCAGATAATATTATATTATTTCATATTTTAGTGCCGAAAGCCAGGTGCAACGCGCATGAACCCACTAGTATCCGTAGTATGGTATTAAGGGGCTTTTAATTGGTGTTACAATTTGTAGGTCAAGGCTACATTTCAATACCCTTATATTGATGCTTGATCTATCTACATGTCAACTGTGAGCATGCATAGTTAGCTAGAGGTCCTACTCGTATGTTGTTTTGAATAACATGAAATTAAGACATCAAAATAAGAGCAAAACTAACAAATCAAACTATCACGAAACTTAAAAATAGTTCCCATTTATCAGTTCCATGAACACAGAACATAGTAAACATTATTATTCAAACCTGAAAGAACACAGGAAACGTAGTCTAAATAATTAGGCTTTGCTCAGCGCTTCTGAGAGACGCTTCGCAACAGAGCGCTTGGCAGCAGGGGAGACCCCGTGCTCCCCAATAATGGAATCCAAAAGAGCCTGCGTGAGGGCTTTATCTTCTATCATCACATCTTCTTGTTCGGGAACCGACCCATCTTCAGTGATCGCAATCTTCAACCAACAAAGAATAAAAAAGATGAGGAAGATGAAAAAAAGAAAAAAAATATGATTTATTTTAGAAACTAGACTCCAAAAAATGAGAAAATAAGAGACTCGATGCAGGGATTATTGTTAGGTAGGTTCTCGGTTCTAACCTAGGTTAGGTAGGTTCAATAAATGGTACGTTTGGACCATTTTAGGTGCACAGTGGGGCCTATGTATAGGTAACCAATTAACATGAAGGAATACATTATTAGTAAGTTTGTAAGAAATATTGAACCTGTGGTATTTAGAAAATGAAAAAGTATATAATAAAACCATTTACATTTGGTCTGGTCAAAATCACTTCTAACCATTTCGTGTGGAAGATAGTGCTCAAAGGGCAAAAAGTAAAAAAAAACACTTGGAAATCAACAGCTGGATTTCATGTCTGATGGATAAGGGTGGTTGGACTTTCATGCATGCAAGGTAAATGATACTCATAACATACAATTCTTTAAAATAAATAAAAACAATAGGTCTGGTATTTTTCAACCATTTCATTATATTTTAAAAAAGATGTTTTCACAACATATATAAAAGAAAAAAGTTTACATAAGGTTACAATCTTAAAATGTAGGATTAAAGATGCACCTAAAAAATTCATCAGAAAATGTTGTTTTGATGTTGAAAAACCATCTATTTGATCATCTCGACATCGAGATGTATGAATTTGGAAAAAAAAAAAAATTTGAGTCCCATAAATAGTGCATCTTGCAACACATTATATAGACTATCCATTTTCAAGACTTTTCTATGTTTATAGATCTACTTGGTCTTAACTATTTTTGGAGTTTAAAATTTTACAATTGAAGTTTTTACACCAAAATTACATGTCATAATAAAATTTGGAGGTGTGGCTTCATTGGATTGTTTAAGGTTGCAACCTTATAAAAGCCACACGCTATATAAAATGTATTATGTTTTATATATAGCATATGAGTTTTGGGGAAAGTACACAATGCTCGTCATAAATGCAGGCAACATTACTGCACTTTGCACATAAACAACGTGCATTGAGTGGCTTGTGTTATGCGCGGTGCGCAGTGCACAAGGCTGAGTACTAAAATGCATGTGTTTTGGGGAACGTAATGCTATCGAATGGTGCATTAGTGCACAACTCTCATCATAAGTGCACAACACTCATCATAAGTGCGGGTAATGTTTCTGCACTTTGTGCATGAATAGTGAGCATTGGATGGTTTGTGTTGTATGCGGTGTGCAATATGCAAGACTAAGTCATACAATTTTGAAGTGAAAAATTTAATTATAAAATTTCTAACTCCAAAAATAGTAAAAATCAAGTAGACCTATAAACATATAAAAATCTTTAAAATGGCCGGTCTATACAATATGTTGCAAGATGCACTATTTATTGGACTCAAAATGTTTTTTTTTTCTTTTCATATTCAAACATCTTGATGTCAAATACGGATAAAATTTTGAGGTGCGCTAAATTGGATTGCATTTTAAAGTTGCAACCTTATAAAAACAACACCCTATATAAAAAATGCATGATGTTTTAAATATGGAGGCGGTTTCTATGCAGCCCGCATATGTAGAAATGCGGGCCCATTAATAAATCTATTTTTGAGATGGATATTAAGACTTAATTTTTAAGGACATGTAATCTCTAACATGGAGATCATGAATAAGAAGAAATAAATAAATGTTAAAAACTAGAAATAATAATTTTAGTAAGAAAACATTTGGACCGTTAGTTTCTATTGTTTTTAAATGGAAGACCTACTTGCATCCAACTTTAAGATGGATGCTTTACACTTTCTTGACCGCATATGCATAAATGCGGTTCTGCCTGCATGAAACAATTTTCCTTTATATATTGCACTAAGGCATCATCAATGGCAGTTGTTTACACCATCTGATAAAACAAACATCACAAGATGCACTTGATCGGATGCTGCAGAGGCTGCAGCCACATGCAACTCCAATTATCAAATTTCGAAATTTGAACTTGGATCCTTCTACCATCACTTAACCAAGGAGTTTGTGATGTGCTTACTAATAGCCCAGCTTTTGAATAGGCAAAGAAGATGGCTGAACCGTAAGTCAACATTTTTCCCTTGAAGGCCTCCAAGAATTTGTGGAGTGCCAAAAGGGATTGTTGTGGAGAGAAAGTTCCTGAGGCTTCCATTATGGCTTTCAATTTGTCCACCACTTTCCCTGAGAACTCTTCACCATCTAGGGTTGAAATCATGGCCATATGTGACATTTTCTGAAAAGGGCCTGCCACAGCCACAAACACAAAACCCAATTAAAAGTACCATCTATATAGATTAACAACATACTAGGGGAAGTAAAAGTGAGGAGCATTAGATGATGTCTATTGCTAAGTTCTACATAAAATGACTGAAGCTTGGATGGTTAATGTGGTGACAGTTGGAAAAACTGTCCTCCAAGTTCAAATCCTAGGATTCAAACCTTGGTTAGTTAAGGTATTGGCATTTGAAATATTATATCCCAAAGTTCAAATTCTAGCATACAAGCTTAAGCTTTATTAGTCAAGTATTGGCATTCTAAAGAGAGAGAAAAACTATCTCAAATTTTAAGTTTTGTAAAGATAAAGTACTTGAAAAATTTTAGAGAGAGAAACTATCTCAAATCTTAAGTTTTATAGAGAGAAAGTACATGAAAAATTTAAGAGGGAAACTAACTCGAAATTTTGAGAGAGTGAGAGAAAGACTATTTCAAAATTTAATCTTTAGAGCAAGAAAATGTATTAAAATTTTAAAAAGAAACTATATCAATTTTTAGAGAGAGAACTACCAAAAATATTTTAGAGAGAGAACCTATCTCAAAAAATTTTACAGAGATAAATTATTTCAAATTTTGAGTTCTAGAGAAAAAATACTTGAAATTTTTTTGAGAGGGAACTAGATCAAAATTTTTAGAGGGAGAAACTATCTCAAAATTTTAAAAAAGAGAAACTATCTCAAAATTTTTAAAAAGAGAAACTATCTCAAATTTTAAGTTTTAAAGAAAAAAAAGGCCTTGAAAATTTTTAGCTTAAATTTTAAGTTTTAGAAAGAGAAACTATCTTAAAATTTTTAGATAGAGAAATTATCTCAAATTTCATAAAAAGAAAGTACTTGAAAATATTTAAAGAGAGAAACTATCACAATTTTTTTAAAAAAAGAAACTATATTAAAATTTAAGTCTTAGAGAGAGAAACTACCTCATATTTTTTTAGAGAAAAATTATCTCAAAATATTTAAAGAGAGAAATTATCTCAAATTTAAAGCTTTAGAGAGAGAAAGTAATGAAAACATCTAGAGAGAGAAACTATCTCAAATTTTTTAGAGAGAGAAATTATCTTAAATTTTAAGTTTTAAAGAGAGAAAGTATCTTCAAATTTTAGAGAAAAAACTATATAAAATTCTAAAGAACGAAACTACTTGAAAATTTTTAAAGAGAATTTTTTTTTCAAATATTTTGAGAGAGAAACTATCTCAAATTTAATTAAAAATAGTATTATAATGAATAATATAATAAATATATTTAACAAAAAAAAATTCATATATGTAGCATCCAAACAACCGAAATCTATTTTATAAAAAATACTTTTCTTGAAATACCTTTTACATGGAATCCATTTCCATGGATCCGAACGACCCCTAATAGTTGCATATTAATACCACCCTATTTGTAGTTACTCTAAAACCCAATAATTTTCCAGCTAAGAAGAGGAACTTGATGAGTAGAAGGATCGAAAATTTGGGTCAGTAAAAAGATAGATTGAAGAATAGTTATGTACAGTTTACGATGTCCATGAAGAAGTTGGGGGAGGCCAGCAGTTCCTCTGCAGATTTTCCCTTCCATTTGGGCTCCAAATCATACACCGCAGCTTCCTCCATGTACAGAGCCATACATGTAGACTTCACAAATACTCCTCCTCTCTCTACGCCCCTTACACCTGCAACCAAAACCTCAAGTCACGAGAGTTAACCAAAACATCTCAAAACGATCTACAATCAAAACTTTAGAATTGGTCAACTTTTGTGTGAGAGAAAAACCAAACGTTAAGACGATGTACAACCGGATTGGGAACCAAAATGGTTGGGGGCTAGCGGCTGGTCCGGGAAAAACCGGTCCAACCCCTTATCTCCCTTATCTAAAAAAAAGAGATGTACTTTGGAAAGGAAAAAAGTTTATATATGCTTGCAACCTTATATGTAGAACATATGTAGAACCATAGGTGCACTTCAAAAATCCATGGGAAAACGTAGTTTTAATGTTGAAAACCCTTTGATTGATCATCTCGACATCAAGATGTATGACCACGAAAAAAAAAGCATTTTAAGTCTCAGAAATAGTGAATTTTACAACATATTATTTACACCGTCCATTTTCAAGATTTTCATATGTTTATAGATCTACTTGATTTTAACTATTTTTTAAATTTTAAATTTTATAACTAGATCTAAAAATAGATTTTGAGATAATACTAAGAACATTTTCATCAAAATTATATACCATGATAAAATTTGAAGGTGCACCTTACCTCTACAGCTACGGATGCATCCGTATGCTAACTGCACCCATTTTAAAATATATATCGTATTATGTTTGATCAAAGTGGTTTTGCCTATTTAAATTGACGAAACGTTTGTTTTGATCAATATTTAACTAAACTCAATTTTTGCCTTGAATCAAACTGGTAAAGACATACATAAGAGGCCTCAGTAGTTGGACGTGATTGGTATGGTTAAGTCTTTGAAGGCTGTATATTGCATTCTCCCTAATGAGTAATATTGCCTAATCAGTAATATTGCACACTTATTCCCTCAGTTAAAGAGCCATTTAGATTTTTTTTTTGTTTTTATGAGAAACAAGGGTATGATTTTTAAAAGAGTAGAATAGCGGATCAAGATTCGTGTAGCCAACTCAAATTAATTAAAAAAAAGTTATTATGATGGTGATGAGGAGAAGGTATTTGGGATAATTTTTCCAATAAAAAATTTCAGAATCTACCTAAGAATCACCATAGCATTATTTTGACCCCAAAAAAAAAAAAAAATAGCAGTACAATTGCTTGGATTTTACACGAGGGTGTAAATAAATAACATGCACCAACGAGAGCACGAAAATTTTTGGCTTAGTTGAATCTTAAAATCACGAATGTGTAGAGAGAGAATAAACCAAAACAATGGACATAGCTACACCCACATGTATGTCAATGGAGAAAGAGAGAGAGTGGTGAACCTGCGCCACCAAGAGCAAGGTCCTTTTTGGGAGATGAAGAGGAGAGCGGCGGCCTCACGGTTGTAGAGAAGACGACTCCTTCCACCTCCATGCCGGGAAGGCCAACTATTCCCATCCCTCTCTCTCTACAGGATCAGATGAGATCGGTCGATGAGTTGTAATGCGTGCATACGTACAGTTTAAATAACCCACCTCTCTCTCTCTCTCTCTCTACAGGATCAGATGAGATGAGATCGGTGGATGTCTTGTAATGTGTGCATACATAAGTTTAAATAGAAAAAATTACGAAATAAAAAAAAAAAACCGAAGACTCTATTTTCTATGCAACTTACTCCCAACCTAATTTTTTCTCTCACTATTTTCCCAATTATTTTTGACCCCAAAAATAATCCACCTAAGAATTACACTTTCTATGCAAATAACCCCCAATCAAATAAAAAATAAAAAAATGCCTAAATTACCTCCATTACTTTTACCTTATCCCATGCCTCTCTCTCCTCAATGTAAGTGCTCTTCGGCACTGCATCACTCTAGAATCACAGCGCTCCAGCACTGTCTATGTGCGCTCCGGCACTACAACACTCTAAAGTAACAGCGCTCTGGCACTGTCTATGTGCGCTCTGGCAGTGGATCATGCGCTTCGGTACTGTGTAAGTACGCTTCGATTATGGAATCTAGAGTCACAGCGCTCCGGCATTGTGTATGTGTGCTCTGGCAATAGATGTGCGCTCCGGCACTACGTAAGTGCACTCCGGCGGTGCAACACTCTGGAGTCATAGCGCTCTGGCATTGTCTATGTACGCTCTGACAGTAGATCATTCGTTCCGACATTGTGTAAGTGCGCCTCGGCAATGGAATCTCGAGTCATAGCGCTCCGAAATTGTGTATGTGCGCTCTGGCAGTATATGTGCACTCTGGCAGTATATGTGCGCTCTGGCATTGTGTAAGTGCGCTCCAGGAGTGCAACACTTTGGAGTCACAGTGCTTCGGCACTGTCTACGTGAGCTCCGACACTGTCTACGTGCGCTCCGGCAGTGGATCATGCGCTCCGGCACTGTGTAAGTATGCTCCGGTAGTGGAATCTGGAGTTACAGCGCTCCGGCACTATGTATGTGTGCTTCGGTAGTAGAAAATGCGGTTCGGCAATGTAATCTGAAGTTATAGCACTCCACCACTATGTATGTGTGCTCCGGTACTACGATGGTTCGTTCCGGCAATGAGCTTAGGAAGTCAATGTCCAATCTGGCCAAATTGATTTTTGTGTATGGGAACGGTATTTTCGTCTAAAAAAAATGAAAATTTTCATTTGGAAGGCATTTGCATAGAAATTGTGTTTTTCGAAAAAAAAAGTGTGAGAAAAACTTATGTTAGCGGTAACTTGAATAGAAAATGTGTTATTGAGATTTTTTTATAATTTTCCCCGTTTAAATGACCCACCCCATCTAATGAGTTTATTATTCTGAAACGGAGAAACTTATATATTTTAGGGTGAAGTTTGTATAAGGTGTCAACTTCATACTATTGAAGTAAGGTGCACATCAAAACAATACTGAAAACGTAATTTCGGCTATGCAAAGTCTCGTGATGATGTAAAAATTTATTGCTACCTCCAATTATGAAATTTAAAGTTCTAAGAATAGACCATTAAGCATATTTATGAACACTTGAAAATCTTGAAATGGAGGGTCTAAATAATATATTAAAAGATGGACTATTTTTAGGACTAAAAATAATCTTTTTTTATTTTATCTGTGAATGTCGAGGCAACGATGATCTATTTGAGGGATTTTACAGCATAGGAATATATTAGATGGATTGTTTTGGTGCACTTTACGTGTACAGTGTAGGGTTAACACGTTAAATAACCTTTTCCTTTTTTATATTCTCCAAAGCCACGACTTTGTTCCTCTTTCCCCTCTCTCTCTCTCCATCTTTTTTTTTACTCAACGCTCTCTCTCTCTTCTAGAAACAATGGAATAAAAATTCCGGTAAAGTTTTTAGACAATCCTTGGACTTTTATATATATATATATATTATATTTTATTATGTTGGGGGTATTTCAGTGGGGGACGACGAGCCCATACCTATTTTTTAAAATAGTTAGTGGTTTTTTTAGCTTGTATGTTCTGCTTTTTTAAGGGTATAGTTTACTTCTACTGATTCGATCAGAAAACCCACTTGGAAGGATTTTCTCAATCAGAAATTTTGTGAACTAATTAAGAATTACTAGATTATTTTTAAAATAAAGTTTTGAAATTTGAGTTTTCCAAGCTTAAGATGTCACCATCTTAAAATTGGATGGTCTTTATTAAGTCTCCAAATCTTAGTTTTTTCAAATGCCTGAAGGTGCTACATCTTCAAAATTTGGAGTCCTAAAATCAATTCTAGGTAGGTTTTACCTTAGAGTAAATGTATATTCTATTTTCACAGGAGTAAAATATCTTTTAGCTTATATTTTTGGGCAAATACATTTTATTTCTTTTATATTTAAAAAACCAAATTAGAGATCTTCCTCTTATAAAAAGAATGTTAAGAAATTGCCAAACGGAAGATAAATAAGTTGAAGTTGGTAATGCATGTTTAATGCGGGACGACCATCTCGAAGTGTACGAAACACTCACAAATTTTTGGGGAATGATTATTGTATTATTAGTGCACACCTCTTATGGTATGGTAGGGTGTATAAGAGCTTAGATCCTCCATTCCAGATCCATCTTAAAATTATGGGTGAGTTTAGATTTAAGATGTTTGGAGATGAAAAGAAAACAGAATTTTGGAAAGGAAAAAGTGTATATAAGGTTGCAATATTAAAATGTAGAATTATAGATGCATCTCAAAAATCCATCGGAAAAAGTTGTTTTAATGTTAAAAAACCCTTTAAGTGATCATCTCGACATCGAGAAGTAAGAGTATGAATAAAAAATAAAAAATAAAAATTGAGTCCCAGAAATAGTACATCTTGGAATACATTATCTTGACCATCCAGTTTTAAGATTTTCATATATTTATATATTTCCTTGATTTTAACCATTTTGTAATTTTATAATTAGATATAAAAATAGATTTTCAGATAATTCTAAGAATTTTTTTACCAAAATTACATGTTATGATAAAATTTGGAGGTGTGCCTTAATTGGATTGTTTAAGGTTGCAATCTTATGGAAACCGCACCTTTTTGGAAATGATATTTACAAAAAAAAAAAATTGGTCCTTCAGTTTAGGTTTTGTGACTATGGAACGTGAAATGGGTTATTTTGAAATTTATTTTTGGATTCTTAGATATATTTTGAATTTGCTAGTAAATTATGCGTATTTTTGAACTTTTGGAGGAAACTGGTGTTGAGAAAAGGATTCTAGAATCTTCAAGGTGGAAGGGATATTTATTTATTTATTTCCATGAAAATGGGGAAAATATTTTGAAGGTATTTAGAAATCTACTGATTGAGTGAAATATGGAATGGTTTGAAAAATACTTTGACCAAAGTTTGGAGTTTTAGAAAGTGGTTGAGGTGAATATTCAGAATGACACTAAATAGGAAAATGAATATCTGAAATTTGTGGTAACAAGAGGAATTCATCATGGGCCTCTATTGGACTATCATCATTGAGACAGGGAAATTTTTCTGAGTACACGGCTACATTATGGGCCTCTGTGCCGCACTTTGTAATCTCATTTTAACGTGGCGCGGGTGTCTTGCCATTTCTGTAGACGCTTAATTTTGAATTGGCAACTTTTTTCTATGTTCTTGAACCTAGGGACCAAAACAACCTCATGAACCCTAGGGACCAAAACAACCTAGTGAACCTTAGAGACCACAACAGCCTAATAGATCCTAGTTACCTTTTCCGTCTTAAAACTAAACTTTTAAACTTACCAACTACCCCAAACAATCATACTAGAGCCTAATCAACATAGGAAACCAATTCGAAAATCGATCCAACACCCTAAGACCTTTGTCGACACCAAAAGTCCTAACCATATAGGCCCCTCAAATTTTATCAAAATTAGGCCAATTTTGATTTTATACTAAAGAGGAGGTCAAGATATTTCTAACGGTTCAATAATCACCTGAAACTAGTCTAGAGTTTGAAAGACATGGCCCGGATAAATTTGTTTAGCAAAAATTCCATCTAAGTTCAGACGACATGATTTGTGTCGTCCAAGAATGTTCTAGACAACATGAATCATGTCATCTAGCAAAAATTTAATCAAAACAACATGAATCATGTCATCTCGCAAAAATTTAATCAAAACAACATGAATCATGTCGTCTAATTGTTTTGACCATTTTTACCAAAAATTTGAGATAAACACGATGGATAAACATCAAAAGCGTGTAGAAACCATTTTGAAGGCCTACAAATAAATTGAAAATTGGCCATTTGAGTGGGATTAGATGCTAAGAGAGAAAAAAAAATTCAAAAGAGAGAAAAAACTTCGAAACCCTAGCCAACCCCAATTTCTAGCGAGAGAGAGAAGCCTAATTCCAGCAAACCCTTGTTGAGGAAAACCCTAAACCATACTCCCAAGCCTAAGCCTTCAACCATAGATACCTAGGATCTTGAACCCTAACCCTAGATCTAGGCCATTAAACCCTAAAAAACTCGACATAAGAATTGAATATTTCTTAGTTAAATTTCAGTTAATTTTCAAGATGAATAAGAAGGCAATAGCATAAACAACCCATGATCCTGATATTGGCCCTAATTCCAAGTTCTAAGTGTCCTAGACTAACATGCTAGGGTAGGTAAGTTCTTTATGTTTCTTTCCCTTTATTTTCAATTTATCTTTAGATTCATTTACAATAGTTTTGGAAGTGTTTTTGGTGTAAAAAATCAGTTGGCATTGCTAGCAATTTGAGAAAGAAACCATCTATCAAGATTGACTTTTCTTCTTCAAAATGTAATTCGACTGGCCCTACAATCTCTACTGATTTTCATATTTTAACTAGTTTGCAACTCAGATAAAAGAGGGTCTCTATATTGGAAACTCTTTCTAATTTGGCTGTAAATAGTTTGGCGCCCACTGTGGGGTTGTTGACCTGATTTCCAGCATAAAAACATGTCCTATTATTCCTGCTTTTTTTTTTT